GTTGTTGTCGTCGTCGTAGATGTAGTTGTTGTGGTTGTTGTTGTCGTCGTTGTGGATGTAGTTGTAGTGGTTGTTGTTGTCGTCGTCGTAGATGTAGTTGTAGTGGTTGTTGTTGTCGTCGTTGTGGATGTAGTTGTTATTGTTGTTGTTGTCGTCGTCGTGGATGTAGTTGTAGTGGTTGTTGTTGTCATCGTCGTAGATGTAGTTGTTGTGGTCGTCGTTGTGGATGTAGTTGTAGTGGTCGTTGTTGGCGTCGTCTTGGATGTTGTTGTCGTTGTCGTCGTCTTCGTTGTTGTTGTTTTGGTTGTCGTCGTCGTCGTTATTGTTGTTCTTTTTGTTGTAGTTGTTGTTATTCTTTTTGTAGTTGTTGTTCTTTTTGCTGTTGTCATTGTTGCTGATGACGTTGTCGGTTCTATATGAAATAAGAAGATTCCATGAGATTTTCTCTAGAATTCATCATTTCTCTATGTGTTAATAATATATCTAGTTTTGAATACATTCATATAGGCTTCCTCGTCTCTTCTTCTATACTATTTATTTATAATGATGTTTTTATTATAACAACTGAAACAAACTAGATGATACAGCATGAGTTTAGTGCTAAAACTCTTTTCGAATATTGTACATTGTAACGAATTAGTAGCAACTTACTAAGGACTGATGATTAATGACTGATTTTTCTCAAAAGGGTTGATCTTATATAAATGAATATAGAATTAAATGTTTTATCAAACAAGATTAATGTGAAATAAAATCAGTATTGCTATATAAAGTTATCGGTCAGAAAGTTCATTATCACATTGATAAGATGAATAATGATAATGTTTCGAGTCTTGATTCCCGTATACCTTACATGCTAATCCTCAAGAATAGAAAACATCTCAAATTTAAATTTTACTTACTAATTGTACACGTTGCACCACTCCAACCAGCTACGCATGTGCAATTACCAGGAGTTATGCATTGGCCACCATTTTGACAGGCATTTGTACATATAGCTAAAAGAAACGACAAAAATTATTAGAATCACTTAAACTCTAATTTTCCGTTACCAGTTTCACATGTTGATTTAGTCCATCCTGTGGCACATGTACAATTATCAGGAGCTGTACATGTACCACCGTTTTGACAAGTATTTGTGCATATTGCTGAAAGAAACAACAGAAATTACAACAATCAACTAAACTCTGAATTAACATTACCAATTGTACACATGTCACCACTCCAACCTGTAGCGCATGCACAAGTTGTGGGACCCGTGCACTGGCCACCATTTTGACAAACGGATGAACATGACTCTGAAAAAGAATAAGCAGATATTTATTTAAAAATAAACGAAAAAATAAATTGGAATTATTTTTCTTCAGCTTTGTAGTTTTCAGATATAACAAATAACTTGGATATAGTAAGTTCATCCCTGAGGAATATTTTGTAACATTCAGTTGGAAACTTTCGGTTTCTCTTTTTATCGGAATAAGCATATCAGTCAATGTAGCGTGTTTAAATTCTTAAAATCAAGATTTGTCTAACAAGAGATAGAACAATACCAAAACTCGATTTTTGAGATTTTGATTTTGGACGCTTTAAATATTCGGTAGTTTTCAGTTCTAGCGTCATGATTTAAATGTTGCCCTTTGATTATCCTTAGTAAACATCATACTATATTACTATGAATGAAAAGCTTGCGAAGTTCAGAAGAGGACTCTATAGGTACCATCTATGTCATCATTAAAATAGAGAAGCAGCATCAAAATCCTCAAACTCCAAAAGTTTTGGATTTGAATTTGGCACTCTAACATGTCTGAATCATATGACTTAAAATGATAAAAGAAAACGCGTACTCACCGATAACAACACCGGGATTATTTTGATTGTTATTATTGCCATTAGGATAAGATTGAACGTGACAAAGCTCCACAGATAAGCTGCTTCCATCGTCCGCCGTGATATTGACATCGCTGACAGTATTGAGTTTTTCATGGATGCCAATAAAAAGCTCGATTTGGCAGATCAGTGTTTGACATGGCAAATCCTGTGGATAATTCAGTGAGACGTCAAAGACGATAGCCACACCTGAACGATCCGTCTTGTCGCATTGAATACTATATGTAAAATTATAAGTAATTATGGCTCGCAATAATTAACTAAAAATAAAATTACTCGCGACGGCGACGTCGACCTTTGGTAGTGGTTGCTTTTGCGCTACTGATGGTGGTAACAGCAATGGACGCTTTAGGAGCACTGATTGCTTGCTGCAGCTAAAACATGATACTCATGGTAAACCAACATGAAAGACAAAACTTACGCAAACGGCTGTTGTCTGACGATTGGTGACAGACTGTGTGGCACGCTTTTTTACTAATCCAGGTGGCAACATGTATGAGATGGTTAATGTAGTCAGCGATTGTTCTAATAAAGATTAAATATGTGTATATAATACAAACAATAAGCGAATACTAACTAGTAGTTGCCGTTTTGTTGCCAACTTTGAAAAACGGTGTTGTTAAATATGCGGGAATCAGTGAGATACAAATTGTGATTGCGATAGCCACAAACAGCAGTACGAAAAGATTACATTTAGAAGGTCTATGTAAGTGATAAAAGAGAATAAGATTCATTGGAAACACTCACAACTTACCTATCAGAACGTGGTAATTTCACATGAGCCATAATTTTTAACTCGTCGAAAGATTGTTACCTTGAAATTAAGAAAAATATGAATTTGAGTGTCAAAGAAAAGTTGGCTAGAGATTTGAAGTCTACAAGTTTCTAGTTATTACCGAAATTCTAGTTCACATCTGTCATTGTCTTTTTTCGGACTATGTAAATAGAGATCTTTAACTATATCCAGTCAATTAATGATATCTACGAAAAGCTAGTAAACACTTACGGGTTGGAATTCGCTAAACACCTAACATTTTTTCTAAATAGAACAACAGTTTGTAAAATGAATGATATTGTTGGAATGGTATAAACTGAATACAAATAATATCCAAAGACGCTAGAAATCGGAGAGGAATAATCGAATATATGTATTATGAATATGAATGAAAACAAATAATTAAACGAATATGTAAAGAGCGTAGGCTTTTATATTCTTGTTTTTATACGCTTCAGTGATATATGAATAATCGTTTTCATTTTTTCTGCTTGTATTTTATCTCATTAAAAAACTAACAAGTAATTAAGCAGATGTGACAATACATATTTTTGTTTTTCTTCGTGTGTAACGCTAATTGCTTATAATTAAAGTAGATAGGAAAAATAAACGTGAATAATTGATCATTTGTCTTAAACAAATAAAATATAATTGATCAATTATCTTACACGAATAAAATATACGTAGGTAGTCATATTCGAAAGCTTGTAATTGGACGATGTTTTTGTTTTATTTTATGTGCTATTATTTTGTGCAATAATTAGGAGAATTCTCAAAAAATATCTATTCATTAATAAACAAAAACGAATATTTTGGAAGTATTTTGGTATTAGTAGAAAGGAAGAATTGTGTCATATGATACTTTTAAGATTTATGTTATTGAGATTCAGAAACTATTATTATATATAAAACACAGATTGATCGGTGAAGTTTTTGTCTTCTTTTAGGACTGAGCTCTTTGTCGAAATTCAGGAGAGAGTATATGAGCCAAAAATTACTCATTTTCAGCAAAAAAGTCATGCGATGATGTTACAATTGAAATCATTTTGAAAAAAACAAAAGTCCAGCGGTATTGTAGAATCATTTAACTTTTTCAGTATTTTACCAATGTAGAAATGGACATTTTTTTTTGGTATAATTTATAAATCAATACATATATTTCCCATTATATTAATGTATTTACCTTCGCAAAATTATGTATATTATTGATGTAATATAATTGCAGTGCGCAAACAATGATAAAAATGATACGAAAAAAAAATATAAAATTAATGAAGCATAAATGAAAACGAACAGAACAGAATAGAATAAAACAAAATATAAATAAATATTTTTAATGATCATGTGCGCTGCACATTCTACTATTTGTTTTAGAAAAAGAATCCACGTGATTGATTATTTTAGAATTTTTCAAAAGAATATTTTCTTATACGTCAAGTATAATTCTTATCTTATATAAGTATTAATAATGATGATAATGAATATTAATTCATATTAGTTAATGTTGTTTATATCAAAGAAGATTCTTATGAAGTTATTTTGAATATATATATATATCATTTTAAAAGAAATTTTCCAAGGCGATGGTTCCTGAAGCAGGATTCTATAAATTTCTGAGCAGAACCCGCCCGGAAAATGCCAGGAATCCGATGGAGATGTGAAGTAACCGTATCCGGCTGCCGATTTTGACATGTTCCTGTCGGTTCCGGCCCAAACCAGATAAATCCGATCACTGGATCCATTCAACAGAAATACTGCTTCCATAAAACTCCCGGAATACCACGGAACCGGCCGTTTCCATGCCGGATTGTTCGACCTGGGTTATGTTTAGATAAATATTTAATGATAAATAAATGGAATTAATTCTTTTTCAAACTGAAATCAATAATAAAGTTAACAGTTTCTTGTAATCAAAACACCCAAAATCTATATAAAATTTTATATGATGAATAAAACTATTAATTCAAACAAAATCTAAGAGAAATATTTTAAATATAGCTCATTGCTGTACTAATTATTTTGTTGTAATAAAAATAATTACGAAGAAATTATTGTCAAATAATTTCTTGAATGAATAGTGAAAAATACATTGTTACATGTGTTCTTGTATAATGTTGTTCATAAAGACTGACAGATAATTTTAAAATGATTTTCTCAGTAATATTAAGTTATTAATTTCACATGGTTGACTCAAAATTGATATTGGAGATAAAGTGATAATGTTAATAATTGACGGTATTGAGATTGCACTATACAAAGACAATGCAATTATATTTGCTTGCTCGTGTTTCGTCATTTGTTTCTTTTTGAAAACGATATTTTTTTTAAAATTATTTTTGAATACTTTTAATTTAAATCTTTCGTTAGGATATCTATTCTTCCAATGTTCTCTTGATGTATCTTTTCGTTCTACACATTCGCAATAAAAACACGATACGATGTTTCCGATTAGGTTTTCTTTAACTCTTGAGACACGATAAGAAAGAATAATCTATTTTATAGTAAATTTTGATGGATGATAAAAAAGAAAGAGAAAACACTTTTAACAAACTCTAAATCAAACAAATTAAAAGAAAAAGAAAATTATATTACATACATCCATGACGCATTACTAACAACAGTAGAAAAAAGAAGAAAAAGAAAAACGTATGCACATCCGTATGATGATGCAAATGTTTTTTTTTTGAAAAGAAAATACTTTTTAAAAACATTTCTGAAGCCAGTCGGTCGGTCACGCACATAAGGAGATTTTGCGCCACTGTAAAACATAATTATTTTCTTTTATATTGATAACTAGATGTTTTTTCTTGAAACATCCATACTTTAAGACGTCAAAGTAAGTTAATTCCACGTGTAAATGTCAAGTTTGTAGTTTACTTCCTCTTCCGTAATTTAATCTAAAACCGGAAGTACTCTTCTTAAAAAAGAATACATTTATCACATATTCAGTCAATAAAATTTAGGCAGTGTCATAATTTGATGTTTACACTGTCTAAAGCTCACTTTTTTTTGGCCAAATAAGATTCTGTAGTTATTTGAATGTTTCTGCCATTTTTTTTCTGTTAATATTATTTATGTGCATTTTCTTCTCAGACAAGCTATTTCATTACCATCACAACACCTAGACTCCATTGAAACAAAGAAAAAAAAATAGTAATATATAAAGTAATACAACATATATTTTATTAACTTTCATTTCTTCAACGTCGAGTCGCGCGAAGGCTTCTTTTGCTACATTACCAGTAAGACTCAATCTAAATTATGTTAGTTGTTATTTCTACTTTAGATTTATTTCATTTTCTTTTTAAAAAGCACATTGAAATGTTTATACTACTTCAGCTATTCTTATTATTCTCATTTTTCATACGCTTATCGTCTGCCGCTACGTTTTCTCCAGATACAAGTGATTATGACGCATATGGACTGAAAATAGCTGCTAATAATTTATTGATTGTCGAAGCTCTCAATGATTATAGTGCATTTCTTTTTCAATTTGAACCCTACACAGATAATATTACACAGACCAGTGATCGAAGTTGTTTAATTTCATATTTTGATTATTCACAATTTATCTATACTATTGCTCTCGGTATAAATCAATCAACTTACGACATTTTCTTTGTTGGTGAAATGATTGATCTCGATAAACAAACTCCATTGGAAAATCGTACATTTGTTGGTATCCTTAGTTATACAGGCTCTCTTACTACAATTGATTGTGATACTTTCTATGGTACTACGCAATTTATTCCAGGAACCTTTGTTCATCAAGAACATTTAGTAATGGTAACTGATTCAATTGGTTCGGTTGCATATGGTTTTTCTGATCTCTTTACATTTTCCTATACAGCAGCTACAGACAATTTAGTTGTTCATAAGACAAACTCACTTTCTCCTTCAATATCATTTTTACCTGTTGCTGTTGATTATGATGGTAACCTTGGTGTTATTGTTGGCTTTCTCGATAATGGTCGAAATTCACGTATGTAGACAAATCGAATAGAAAAATATATGAATACATTGCTCTTTGAATTTGTTTATTTTAATAGGTATTAAATATCATGCAACTATTATCCTGTTTAGTATCAGTGCGTCAACAGCTATTGCAACACCAATCAGCTCATGGAATTATTCAGCAAGTGCAACATCATGGCAATCTGGATTAACAAATATAGGAGCTGATCAGTATGCAGCTAAATACGACATGTCTGTTAGTATAAATCCAATAGCAACACAAGTTCTTGTTGGCATACAATCAATCAATACAGTATTTCTATTCCATTATACAACAACAGCATTGACATTGATTAGTTCCATGAGTCCTGGTCAGGCAATTGGTTTTGGTAAAGGTGTTGCTTGGCTCAGTTATACTTTCAATAGATTTGCCATTCTTGTTAATGTTTATTCAACAGATTATGTTTGGAGTTCTTCAAAAATCTATATATATGACAGTACATTAACGAGTACATCGACTCCGATCTCTATTTTCCCAAATATTCAACAACCTCTCTATAATTATATGTCACCTGTTTTTCTCAATATTATCACAACTCCACACAATTTAGTTCTTCTCGATAATCAAGGTGATCTCTTTGTTATTGTATCGGCTCCTATTGGTTATTACTCTTCAACAGTTGGTCCAACTGAACAAATTATACCTGCATTCTCTTCACAATTACCATGTATTCCTGGTACATACAAGAATATAACTGGCATCGGTCGATGTATACCGTGTCCAGCAGGCACAAAAAACGATGGAATCAACCTTACATTATCAACTTGTACCGGTTGTGCAGTAAATACATTCTGTCCATTTGGTTCTACAAGTGATTCTATCTCAAATGATCAATTGAGTAATGTTGTTCAAGCACTTGCTTATCCATCAACACCAGATATGAACGGAATTGATGATATCCTCTTTTTTACACTATTTTCAATTGATTCATCTCCACGTTGTATTATTATTTCACCAATCTTTTGGGCCTTAATCGTTGGTGCTATCGTAGCTATTATTGGAAGTACAATGCTTACGATGAAACATTGTATGAAACATCCAAAAGCTGTAGATAGATATAACAAGTTAGAAGCCGCATTGAAACAAGCAGATGTTATTGGTGCAGGTGAAATGTGGGTCGGGGGTCTCACTACATTTTCTGTTTTAGTACTCCTTATCGCTTGTTATGTATTTAGTGCTAAATATTATAATTCATATCCAATTGAAAAAGCTGGACCTTCGACATATGCATGTGATACAACTATACGGAATGCACAATTTACTTCAAGTTTACAGCCGTTGTCAGTACCAGTCTCAGACAGTGCTCAAGCAATAGTTGACTTATTAAATAATCAACCAGTAAATCTCAATGTCGCTTTTCTCAATACAGCTTACAATTGTACATCAGATACAATTACATTGACTTATCTCCTAGGTAAAATATGGATGCCAATCACAACAAGTATCTCCTGTAATTCTTCAAACTATATACTTTCATACAATGTTCTTTTACCATACAGAGAAATTACCATACAATTTAATTTACCTAACATATATACGATTGGCGGACTACGCATCGGCCTTAGTGCACCTGGCCAAATTCAATCTTCTACAGTAACACTCCAAGATTTAGACTTTTCTCAAACATTCAGTCAAAGTGGACGTATGTTAGGACAAGATGCAAATATCGCTCTCTCTCTGACGAAAGTAATTAATGATACAAGTCCACTTAATGTTGGAGATAATGATACATATAGTGGTCTTTGGATTGGTTCATTTTCAGTGAATTACTATGAATCTTTCTTCGCAGACACTGATTATTTGAATGTACCAGTTACAAGATCAACAAATTTGACAATAACTATTAGTGAAACATCTTACTATATACTAAATCAACAGTCACCAATCGCAAGATTACCTATACTAATCTATCATTGTTTCCTATTTACAACAACAGTCGTTGGATCGTTCACTTTCATATTTGTTATATCCAACTTGATGATTTTACCTGTTTCAGCTTTACTTGTTCGTAAATGTAAATCGAAATTTGTCAAAAATAATCGAGTTAGTAGTAATGATAATGATTTACCAATCTCAAGTTCTAATTTGAACTTGTCACCAGAAACAAAAGCCGCCACAAATCAATGCTAAAAATTCTGTTATATTTCTATATCAATGCGTTGCTCATCTTCAAGCTTTTTTGCTTTTGTTTCATTGTTGTATTTTATAATATTCTTACTTAAGAATAATGCGTTTCTTTTTATCAACTGTTTCATTATCTTTTGACTTATGAATAAAATGCAAAAAAGAAGGACCATACCAGAGATATCATTTTCATTGTTGCCTGTCAGCTCGCACAGGTAAGTGTTATTCTAACAGCAAAATAAGATAAAACATGCAAGATTCATACATTCGTTTATTATTTCTTTACTATAGATATTTGTTCTGCTGTACTCACAATGAACAACAGCCAAATGAATGATGACAACGAAACGCTTCTTCCTGGTACGTTGATCGATCCGAACACTTGTGATAATCACCATCACACATCGCACCATAATCGACATCCACTAAGTTATTGTGTACCTACACTAGTCGAAGTAAGATATTATGTCTATTTAAAAAATGTATTTTCGTCTTCCATCTAGCTACATATCCATCTCGATGGTTCCTTTCGACATTCGACCTTGTTCGAGTTAGCTGAAAAGAAAGGTACACTTTTTTTCCTGGTCAAAAATCCTCATGTCAGTTTTTTCTTTTCGCTTGTAGATATTCCACTTCCAAGTGGGATAAAAAGAACAATGGAAGATTTCATACCGTAATTGCAATTAAAATATATTACATAATATAATTGCATTTCTGTTTAATTAAAGATATGTCTGTGTTCAATCGGATTGTAAATCACTCGCTGACTTTCTCGGAAAATTCCCGTTTTTTATTTCGATCGTCGCTGGTGATGTTGATGCGTTGGAGCGTGTTGCTTATGAATTTGTTGAAGATCAAGCAGTACAAGGTGTACTCTACACGGAAGCTCGCTACAGTCCTCATTTTTTGACAGCTGATATTCTGACACCTGAACAGGTTATCGAAGCAATCAATCGTGGGTTCGAACGTGGCAAGAAAGAATTCCATGTCGATGTTCGTACGCTACTGTGCTGCATACGTCCACATCCTGAATGGTATGTTGATTGACTCGAGAGATTGAGGGTGTTTTGTCATCATTTGCCTTTTAGGTCAATGGAAATTGTCGAACTTGCACACAAATATCGATCAGCGGGTGTAGTTGGTATAGATCTAGCTGCTGGTGACGAGCATGAGCATGTCGTTACTCCTCATGTGGCTGCTTTTCAGCGTGCTACTGAGCTCGGCATACATCGTACTGTACATGCTGGTGAATCAGGTTTGGCCGATTCTGTTCGTCAAGCAATTGAACAATGTCATGCTGAACGAATCGGGCATGGTTATGCCATTATTGATGATCCATCCGTATATGAACTCATTCATAGTAAAGATATTCATCTTGAATGTTGTTTAACATCATCATTACAAACGAATGCCGTTGGCAAATATGCACCAAAAGATTGTGACGTAGAAGAAAAACATTTGATGTTGAATGGTCAAGAAACGAATACCAAACTTCATTTACATATGACATCGAAGAAAGAAGTGTGGCATCCTATTCATCATTTTGCTCGAGATCATCTCAATTTTTCGTTATCATGCGATGATCCATCTGTATCACAGATTACTATTGAACATGAATATAAACATGCATTAATCGATCTCAAATTATCACCAGCGCAGCTTACTCAATGTATCTTCAATGCAGCACGATCATCATTTTTGCCTGAAAAAGAAAAGGATGAATTAATTAAACGATTGTTAGTTAATTATATTCCAAAAGGTGTTCTCAAACATCACTAGACGTATCGTTGCTTAAATTCCACTTTAAATTTTTACATCACTAATGATTTTATTTCAATTCGATCAATATAATGATTATGCAATTTGACTATATTTGAAAGTGTGAGTGTGGGTGTGTGTGTGTGGGTATCGAAGAAGAGAAAATCAATATATCTGTCCTTCTGCTTAGAGTAACTAAATATGGGCTTCGATTTGATAAACGTTTCATTACGAATGATTATATTTTTATATTGATGTCCTTGAAATCAATGATTTAATCTATTATTCGTTTTGTAGTTCGCAAACAATGATATTTCATTTATTATAAAAAATGCATATCATCGATTTGAGAAAATTGAAACGTGACATTTTATTCTTGCATACGTCATTATTAAATGGTCTTAAATATAGCTTTTTTTGTTCTTACCTCTATTTCATATTGATTTTCATATCATAGTGAATATTTCTCATCACAGTGCTTATTATTAAAAAGAACAAAATTTTATTTTCGAAATGATGACAATGAATTATTTCGTTGTACTTTCCTTATGTACATGGATGTAAGTATTTTCTTAACAATAGTGGACGATTATTTATTTTGTTTCATTGTAGGGTTTTCAATTCAGGCAAAGTTACTGGTGCTCAAATATCATCCAATGCTATGAATAATTGTGAAATATATGATCCAACAGCGGACCAATGGACCGTTATTGCAAGTATGACAACAGAACGTATACATCATACTGCGACTCTGCTTAATTCCGGCAAGGTTCTTGTTTGTGGTAGTGGAGGATATACTGGCTATATAGCTACATGTGAAATATATGATCCATCAACCGAAAAATGGGAGGCTGCTGCAAGCATGACAACGCCACGCGGTTTTCATACTGCAACCCTACTTGGTTCGGGTCAAGTTCTTGTCACTGGTGGTACTACCTTTAACTTCAACGGTGATTTGAAGACTTGTGAAATATATGATCCATCAACGAACAAATGGACTCCTACTACAAGTATGTCCGCATCACGTTCAGGTCATACTGCAACTGTACTTAATTCGGGTAAAATACTTGTTACGAATGATGGAGCTACTTCTGAAATATACGATCCATCAACGAGCCAGTGGAGCTCTCCTACTAGTGTAGGACCAGCAGCGCGTTATAATTCGGTTGCTACCCTTCTCAAGTCAGGTGAAGTTCTTGTTGCTGCTGGCATTCAAGCAGCTAAGTATTCGCTTACTTGTGAAATTTATAATCCATCAACAAACCAATGGGATATCATTTCAAGTATGACAACAGGACGCTCTCGTCATACTTCAATTCTACTCAGTTCGGGCAAAGTTCTTGTTGCGGGTGGTGTCGGAGATGCTGATTTTCTAGATAGCTGTGAACTATACGATCCATCAACGGGCAAATGGAGCGTTGTTACTAAAATGATAGCAGAACGTGCTGACTTTACTACAACCATGCTCAAATCAGGCAAAATTCTTGCTACTGCTGGCTATGGATATACTGGTTATTTAGATAGTTCTGAAATATATGATCCATCAACAGGCACATGGAATCCTAGTGCACGTCTATCACTAACACGTGCTTCTCATACTACAACCATGCTCAATTCAGGCAAAGTTCTTGTTACTGGTGGCGAAAAAATCGGTAGTTAAATGACTATTTTGAATTTATTATTGCTAAATTCCATTTTATGTAATGTTGATTTTTTATTAATAAATTATGCAATCGTTGGTAGAAAGAAGAATAAAGAACAGATATTTTAAGCTAGATTGTGAATGAAAAATTTCAAATTCTTTTGAAAAACAGCTTTTATAGAAAAATGGAATCAAATATGAGATACATACTATGAAAAAAAAGTCTTTCCTCTCTCTTTGTTGCTGTGCTATCATAATTTGTACAAAATTTATTGCCGAATAGAGATATGATTTGACAGTTTTATTGTTCTGTGATTTTTATATAAAATCATACTGAAATAAAACTCTCAAGTCATATCTCCACTCGACAATAAATTTTATGCAAATAGGAATACAATGAAAAATGATCCCAGTGAATGTCGAGTTCAAAACTAAAAGAAAAAAATCTCTGAAATAGTAAAGAACTGTCGAAATCAATTCACTCTGAAGAAAAACATTATCGTGAAACAAAAATATAAAAAAAGATGTAGAAAACGGTTTACTCTGCTCTGGTTCGATTTTTTAGTGGTTTCTGAAAACCCACTTGTATCTGTTTTATTCATATTTTCCTTCTGATTTTATGAGAAAAGTCTCCTGATTGAATCTTATTTTTCAATGAAAAAATTCGGATTTGGCAACCCGAAGTGGGAGTTAAAATCAAACTGATAAAAGTACAAGAGAAGCATGCGGCAGAACAATAGCCTGATATTGATTCGAAAGTGCGCATACAAGAAAAAAAGAATTAAGTGGAAAAGATTAGAAGAGCATATAAATACAGAACAGAAATAAAGGACATCGCGCACATTTCACTCAAGAATAGGTTATTACAACTTCGACTCGTTACTAAATGACGAATAATAGACTGGTTTCTTTGTAAATCTATACATTCACTTGAAAACATATATATCTTTTCAATCAAAACAAGTTAAAAATGTCGGAAGCCACCACTAAAGATAAGCCAACTAACTTTTCGATAGATTCTGAAATCGTAAAATCAGAATCACAATTGCATCAGAGTCGTTCCATCATTCGAGAATTTAGTTTGAATACATCAATGCATGGTATTTCTGGTATTTCACGTAGTCAAAGTATACATAATCGTACTTTCTGGTCAATTGCGATACTTATCTTTACTGGTATGATGTTTTACTTTAGTATTCAAGCAATTCGTGCTTATTTTAAATATCCTACAGAAATATCAGTAGAATTTATTGAAGAATGGCCACAAGCTTTTCCAGCAGTTACCATTTGTAACTATTCACCACTCCGCTATGATCAATTTATTATGCCTTACTTAAACTATACAAATACATTTAATTTAACAAATACAAACGATACAAGTACATTTTCTGCATTACAAGCAGAATATATATCTAATTTTCTAAATCATGAACTCAATCGAAATCAATCTTTACATCATCTATACTATCCACTCGAGACCATGTTAATAAAATGTGTCTATAATGGTGTTAACTGTTCAGTTCATGATTTTATTCGATTTATATCGCCTCGATATGGTTTCTGTTACACGTTCAATGCTCAAACAAAACATATTAACAATGGAAAACTACATTATAACAATGAAAATGGAAAAAGTGGTCAACTTGAACTGGATTTATATACACATAGTCATCAATATGTTCCATATCTTTCTAATGGTGTGGGCATCGTAGCAATGGTACATGAAAATACACAATTGCCTCTTATAGATAGGGCTAGTGCTCAGTTGAGGCCAGGACAAAGACATAAACTAGGGTATATTAAGATGACGAATGTTCTCTTACCAGCACCTTATACAAGTTGTAACAATAAAGTTTCTCTTGGACTACAAGCAATGTTCAATCAATTTCCACAGGCTCACTATACCTATGCACAAGAATTATGTTTTATAGTTGCAATACAAACCTACACGTTTGTATAATCAAATTATAGTCTCTATCTATTTCATGTATTTATTCATTATTTACAGATATCAAGAATGTGGTTGTGTTAGTCCTTTTGAATGGTCTACTCGTTATATTGTTCTTCCAGGTACAACTACAGTTATTCATGCAAGTTTGTGTAATACATCTGATACCTGTTATGCAAATGCAGCTGATAGATTTAGAAGTTTAAGTTCTATTGCACGAATCTTTGCTTCAGACTGCAATCAAGAATGTTCTATCAATAAATTCCTAATTAAGTTATCTTCTATCGCAGCACCAACTTCGTGGTATATAAATGATATTAAAAGTTTTGTTGAATCAGTATCGACAATTTCATTATCTTCCAATTGGTCTACAGTATGGTCTTCTGATATACAAGCCAATTATGTTGGTATTGATGTTGTATGTGAATCAACTCGAGTAGAGACTTATACACAACAAGCATCAATCAGTATTGTTGATGTAATTTCCAATGTTGGTGGTCAAACAGGTCTTTGGATGGGTATCAGTTTTCTTTCATTGATGGAAATTGTTGAAATGCTTTATCGACTTCTTCGATATCAATATCATCGTATACGAAGAAGACTACAACAATGATACTCGAACTAGTATCGACGAAATATTTCTTGAGTGACTTACCATGAAAATACTTTTTTTTTTAATTCGTAGCCTTTTATACAAAAGAGGGTGGGTGTGGGTGAGGGTTTTTGATAAATATAGCACTCATACCCACACCCACTATTTTTTTGTTCGAAAAATATATGTGAGTTTCACAAAATGGATGTGAGTATGGGGTCTGGGTGTGACTGTGAGTGTTGGTGTGTCTCTCTTATTCTCTCACCCACATCCACAAGAATGTTGATAATGAGCAAATTGTGACAGAATACGTAAGTTCACTCAATTTTGAATTCTGATAGTGAAGTTCTATGATACCCAAATATTTTCGTCGTTATAATTAAAGGAATCGTTCTTTGGGCAGTTTTTTGAATTATTTCACGTAGGCTTGAGCGCAGTGAATGACGCGTTTACTGATTTTACAGGTGTATGACATCTAATACAACTAGAGAAATAGAATAGGATGCAATTGTCACACACTATTCCGGCAAATCAATAAATGTTTATCTGAGCGTCGACAGTCTCCAAAACGTGATTATAATGCAAAAAAACAGTATACTTATTTTTTCTATTTGATAAATAAAAGAAATATATTATTAACAGTTTTGTGTGATGTTAGCATAGCGACATTGTTCATTCATTGATCAAAAATGAATAGACTACTTATCGTTTTCATAATCATCATTGTATTAATTGGCATCTGTGAACCAGTTGTACTTCTGTATAATACTGAAAATAGTAACAGTACAGAAGGGTTTGATTGCATTTATCATACAGAATTCTCTACTGTTAAATATTGTGCACGATTGGGCACAAGGGTAAGTATTTTCACAGATATGGATACTTGTTTGAACGGAAAAAGATGGAGTTTTTCTGAACTCTTATCAAATGAAATTTCACCTTGGGATGTTCTATCATGGAGTTCCAGCGTAGAAAAAGCAGATGACTATGCACGAGTCTTCTATAATCGATCGGAAAATTTTGAAGACGAGCCAATCCTATGTCAATGTTCAGAAGGATTTCTAGGAAAGAAATGCGAGTACCAACTTCTCTTCGATCCTTCTTCCTTCAACAAGGCTTGGCCAGTACTTTTCAAAGCGCACAGGAATAGTGAAGGTCATCAACTGTACGGTAGTATATTATGCTATGAGACATTAAAATGTGACTCTGGAATGTTATGTCTTGATTGGAGAGATATTTGCAATGGACAACAAAATTGTATGGATGGACTTGATGAAGAAAACTGTGATTTATTGGAATTTAATGAATGTGAAAACGATGAATATCGTTGTACCGATGGAATGTGTATAGCAGAAGAATATTGGATTGATGGTAAGTTGAAAAGTGAAAGTCTTAGACATACAGCGAAAAAAAAACTTGAAAAACACTTTTTGAAATAGGTTCACTTGATTGTATGGATGGGACCGATGAAATGTTCGCTCTACATGGAGTTAATTGCGTCGCTTATCCGTGCCCCATCGATTGTGATGACCATAAATGTCCCATACATCAGTGGTCATGTGGAGATGGTCAATGCATTCCTTATTTTAAGCGATATATCTACCAAACAGAATGGCGAGATTCTATAATGTGCCTCAGTATGCGGGAGTTCAATTACATGTGTGAATTAGCATCTGACGAATCATATTGGACAAAACCGGATGGTCTTTGTACGGAACGGGGCTACCATGATACTTCTTTGATACTCTCATCGAACTTGGAGAAATGCATCTATTACATTCGCTGCGCACTTTCGAAGGGAGCTGAAATTCAATGCCCATGTAATGGAACAAACTGTAATACATTGATGCAAGAAGTCTGTGAGCATGGTAGCAGCTATCTATATCCAGGTCGAGGCATTATCCGGCCATGGATTAAGCAATATTATTCATGGGAACAAACTTGGAATGACAAGACACCGGCTTTGGCTCTGTTCGTGGGAAGTATTAGATGTCGAGGATTTCACATTGTTTTGAAGCAGGAAGATAACTTTGAATTCACGCTACCTTATAATCTATATCCATTCTCCAATCTAGATGATAGATTCTGTCCTATTATGCCAATGAAACATCGGAATATTATGTCGTTGTACAAATATTCAGCTACATGTTGGAATGATTCGTTCACTTTCAGTGGACGACCGTATGCCTTTTGTGATATTTGTCCGAATTCAAGTATATGTTTTTCACAATATCGAATTGCAGATGGGATACAAGACTGTGCATATGGAGAGGATGAAGATAGTCGTGCAGTTGAAAAAAGAAATTATTGTCACAACATTCAAAAGCATCGATTCCAGTGCTCTTCAGAACAGATGACTTGCTTAACACTTCAAAGTCTGACTCAAATTCAAAACTTTGGAAGCACGTGCGTAAATAAGTACGATATAAAAATTAAAGGTGAAGGACAATATCTGGATAGCATAGTTTGCGTTGATGTTATAGACATCAGCGACTGCAATCTACTTCGATATTATATTGGCAATTCATCTATTCCGAATTCCAACTTTACAAATACTGATGCCGAATCCAACAGTGGACAGCGATCACTAGGTGTAACTCCTTTTCATTATTACTGTGACACATTTTGGGACGAACAACCACTACACGATGATGAAAATACGACTAATTGCCAATCTTGGATTTGTCCAGAAGAATTTTTTCGATGCAACACTAGTCAGTGTATTCCAATCGATTGGGTATGTGATGGAGAATGGGATTGTTCGGATGCAAGTGATGAATTCGGTCTACCCGAGCAATGGATCAATCACAATGAACATCTATCCAACCAGTTGAATGATCGAAAAAAATTATGTAAAGCGAACTATGCAGCATTACCATTTCGTGATTTCTGTAACTTTAGTCGCGAATATCCTTGTTATCGATCAACAGTTTCCCATCCCTTAGACGTCAACAAAAGTCGGCCGTGCATCAATCATGTACAAATTGGCGATGGCACCGAAGATTGTTATGGAGGTATTGATGAAAAGAATACTTTCAAAGATTGCAACGGAAATATGCTGGGATATACACTAAAATGTGGAAACAAATCTACAGGTTCTTTACGAAAATGTGACAAAGATATAGCATGCTCAACATCTGTACTCTGCTCCTATAAAAGTAAGAATTCGTCTTGGTGTGCTGGACTACAAGATGTTGTTTGTCTGGATGGAACATGTGTAGAAAATGCTCGATGCGATGGAATGTATCAGTGTCCACATGGAGAAGATGAGCACTGGTGCCCATCGGAAAAAAGATCCGAAGCCAGTATAGGTTATCGATATCTAAAGCACAAAAACAGAAGTATCCAGTATGCTCTACCTGATATACGCCCTTTTCCCAAGGTAAATGTTCCACCTCTTGAAAAGAAAAACAACAAATCACCTTTTGAATGGTCATCGTCACAATCATCACTAGTGAATTATTTCGTAAGAGAACAGAACAATTCTAAAAATTTATTTTCTAAAAGCATAGATCCGGGAATTGAAATACAGTTATCATATATATGTAATCGAGGTTTTCCACTTTGGAGTCCTGATACAATGTCTTATCGATGCCTGTGCCCACCAACTTTCTATGGACTTCAGTGCCAATTTTTCTCTGATCGCATCTCAGTCATCACCCATTTGGATTTGCCTACTTTTCCAGTCAATAGTTCAGCTCGTTTAATAACAGTTGTAGCTAGTTTCCATTTCAGAAACGTCGTTATGGACCATCATATCTTTCACGTTAATCCTTTGTTGGAAACTAACAAACCTATCAAACATAGATTCTATTTACTCTATTCTCGATCCGATGCTTACTTAAATCATAAAAAATCGCGATATTTCAATCGAACCGACATCCTTCATGATCATCCATATGAAGTTTACTTTGATATCTTCGTACTAACTGAGAATGCAACGGAACAGATTGGTTCTTTCTATCATCAAATCTACTTTGATTTTCTTCCAGCTTTTCGTCTAGCTACTGTCTTAAAATTTCCATCATGGATCAGTAATTCTACATTTAATCCCTGCATTCCCAATCCATGTAACGCAAATGCTTATTGTAATCCAATTCTGAACAAAATGCGATATTATATATGCTCATGCAAATCAGGCTATAGTGGTTCGAATTGTGAGGAATATCATACCGAGTGTTTGATTTATTGCAGCTCTGATTCCATTTGTCGAGCAAACTATCGTGGTTTGATTGCTAATACTCAGCATCCTCTTTGCATTTGTCCTTTTGATCATTTTGGCCCTCGATGTCATCTCCGAAATGACGCTTGTATATCAAATCCATGTGGATTGAATGCAACATGTTATCCATCATATGATCCTAGTGGAGAAAATAATGTCATTTGTGTGTGTCCTGAACGGTTTTATGGTGATCGATGTCAGAATGAAAAGTTAATGATTCACATTCAAGTAAATATGACAGCATTGATAACAGTGGGCGTTACCCAATTCTACGATCATTTTAAACTATTTAACACACTTTTATTATCCCATCAAGAAGTGACACACGGTTTGCCAAAAATAATTCGCTATGATAATGACCGAGAAGAATTTCCTCTTATGGCTCTATTAAAGATTTACCAAGAATTGTCGAATCCAAGATATTTTATTGTTTACGCTCAATGGCTTACGGGACCTATTAATATAACTTCAATACCCGCAGAATGTCCACATGTTTTAGACATATTTTCTCAAGGTAATATATTTCTCCAGTAAGTTTGTGTAAAGACCTTCATACTTTGTTTTTGCAGATATAACAATTAGTGACCATAGCATTTTCTCATATCACAAAATCTGTCGGAATGATGCCAATCGTATCTGTTTTTATGACTCGAATTATTTTTGTCTATGTGGAAAGAAGAGAGCAGAATGCTTTGCGTACGATTCGAAAATTGACCATTGTGATAATTGCTTGTCTGGTGGTCGATGTATTCGAGGCGATCTGAAAAAAGTCAATGACTTTATATGTATTTGTCGTTCTTGCACTCAAGGTACTCGCTGTGAATTCAGCCTACAAGCATTTGGCTTTACTCTTGACTCTTTATTAGTATATCAGATGACAGCCATTCATATTACTTATATAAGTGTGGCTTCGATTCTATTTTGTATTGGTCTTTTCAACAATTATTGCTCGTTCATAACTTTTAAACGCAGTCAACCACGAAAATCTGGTGTTGGAAACTATCTACTATTTGTTACTATCCTTAATCAATGTAGTCTGCTTGTATTTTTATTGAAATTTATTTCTATTTTTCTCGGATCAAAGGGATTAGCAAGTGATATATCATGTAAAACGATCACCTATCTTCTTTCCGTCTTTACTCGATCAACATATTGGTTAACAAGTTGGATTGCAGTGAATCGTCTTCTGACAATTATATATCCAGTTTCGACTTCTATAAAAAATACACGCTTAGCAATTTACTTTAGTATAAGCACATTGATTATTCTTCTCGGCATGCATCTACATGAGCTTTTCTATTATCAAACACTTCGCGATTTAGATTCTTCTACTGTTCGTTGTGTCAATAATTTTAATCATCACACAGTAGAGATTTATAATCGAATAAATACTCTCATTCATTACCTACTACCATTTTGTATTCAAATCATTGCCATTACTCTTCTGATCGTTCTTGCTGCTCGTAGTCGCGCAAGAACAGTAAGAGATCGACAAACATTCCGGCAGGTACTGAAAAATCAAATTTCTAGTCAAAAAGAACTCTATGTAACACCATTCACTATTATTCTTTCTGCTCTCCCACAAGCCATTCTCTCATTCAGTTTCGCTTGTACTCAATTGAACAATTGGAAGCAGCATACACTTATCGTTTGTGTTCTTCTCTCTTACGTTCCACAAATACTTGGTTTTATTCTGTTTGTCCTTCCTTCAAGTGCATATAAGAAGGAATTTGAAGCAACTGGAATCGGACAGAAGACTATTAAATGGATGTTCAGAACGAACGTAAGAAAAACAAATGCTTAAAAATTCGAAGCTATTCAATGTATTGAATCAACTATATTACTTTATTTCATTTTTCTATATTCATTAATTGTATTTGTCTAAATTGAAATTGTGTGATTTTGTTTTTGTATCATTGAGCTTAACATATTTCTTCAATATCATTTAATTGCACCATCATGCACTATTACCTCTCGAGGTGAGAATAAGGGTGTGAGTGCTGGATGAATACAGTATCCATACCCACACCCTCAAGATATAATTTATTAAAAACAATTTTCCAATCGAGTATAACGATATGAAAACGGTTAAGATTATCAATATCGATGATATATTATTTCTGTTTGGAGTTACATGTGATTGTTCTTTATAAATTTAGATTAATAAATAAAATAATAAGAACTAATGGTGAATGAAAAAAAAATAGTATAGTTGTTCTTAAATGTCAGGATCAACTGGTTCTCGTTCGACAGCAAATTTATTTGGTACTTTAAAAATACCACTTTTAACGATAACAATATCTGATAGTGGATGATCTAATGCATCCGTTTTCAAATTTTCAATTTTGTGTACGATAGACATACCTAATTTAGTTTAGAATAGAAACTAATAATGAATGAAAACAAGAAAAAGATTGAATTACCTTTAAGAACTTTTCCAAAAACAACATACTCATCATCAAGAAATTTAGTTTTCACAGTTGTGATAAAAAACTGACTCGTATTAGAATCTTTACCTGGAAAAATAAAGTTTATATTACATAGTTAGTATATTATACGTTATTGTTACCGGAATTAGCCATTGAAACCCATCCAGCACCATAATGTTTTAATTTGAAATTTTCATCAGGAAATTTACCGACATAAATACTGAATTATTATTGAAAACATTAATTATTTTTGAGATTATAAATTCTTAATATTACCTTAAACCACCAGTACCATCTCCATTCTCGAAATCACCACCTTGAATCATAAAATTCTTAATAACACGATGAATTATTGAACCATTATATCCAAAACCTAAAGTACCGGCCGCTAATTGTGCAAAATTTTTTGTTGTTTTTGGTACAATATCACCGAATAAACCAATAACAATACGACCTTCACTTTTACCATCAATTTCAATATCAAAATAAACTTTTTTTGTTACATAAATCTATACAAAATCAAAATAATAAAACAACAAATTAAATGAAAACTTACTTTATCGTCATCTTCACATGCTGTTCTTTCAAGATAAACAATAAATACAAAATTAAGAAAGATCAATTCTTTTAAAGTAACCATTTATGTAATAATAATGAAAAGAAATAGTCTACAATATTGATTGATTATTTTTTTTGTTTTCAATAATATGATATAAGACGGTGTGGGTGTGGGTATCGGTGAGTGTGTATCAAGGATTTAAACCTACATCCTCTCACATCCGCACCCGCAAGAAAACAACGTATACTATTATATACATAGAAACATATATGAAAGGTAGGAGAAGAAAATAAATTATGAAAATTTCATGGAAATTTAAAATGTTTAACGCGAAAAATAATGTATAATATTGTGTATATCGAAAATATATATGAAGAGTAGAAGAGAAAAATAAATTATAGAAATTTTATGGAAATTTCAAATATTAGAGCAGAAAATAATGTATAATATTATACACATCGAACATATATAAAAGGCAGAAAAAAAATAAATTACAGAAATTTCGAGGAAACTTCTGTGTTTTCTTCCTGCTCCCTACCATATGACTATATCATATGTGTATGAAGTTATCTAGAAGTTTCTGAGTTTTTTTTCCGTAAGTGCACGTCCTTTTAGTATTATTTATATTAGTTGTGGTTGTTGGAGAAGTGGAAATTTTAGAATTTGCTTTGAGTAGAAATCTAAACATACCTTTATTTAAGATACAGTATTCTTATTTTCTTACATTCATAATGCCAATCACAAATCTCGCGTTTGGCTATTCTAAAGATCCATGGACAGTTTATTTTGCTGGACAAAAAATACAAAGTGCATCAGCAACATCATTTGAAGTATTAAATGATGGTTATGCAAAAGATCCATGGAATGTTTATTATATGGGTAAAAAAATAGAAGGTGCTTCAGCAAGTTCATTTCAATCATTAGGCAAAGGCTTGGCAAAAGATGCATTTAATCGTTATCATCTTGGACAAAAATATAGTGGTTTAACTCCACCCACGCATCACTTTCATTAGCTTTTTCAACAACAAAAAATCAATTAATAAAAACACCTTTTTATATAAGTTCGAAAGATATATATATTACATTTTTTTTTTATAAAAAAATCTATTATTAAGCTTAATATACTTCTTATCGACACGTATTACTATTTAAAATTATTTATAAAACACAAATGATGAGTTCTAATGTTAAGTAATGTTTATCAAAACACGTACATACCTTCATAAGCTATGAAAACGGGTGTGGGTTAGGAAAAGATAGACACCCTCCAGCACACCCGCATCCACACTAACATCCACGCCCACACCCATGACCCAAAGACACGCTTTATTCCAATAGATTATTTGAAATCATATATTGTATTAGAAGAATTTTTTTAAAATCTGGATATAGAATTAAATATGTCAAGAGAAGCAAGCAGAGTTGAGCAGTCATGAAGCATGAAATTAGGCAATAAATAAAAGAAAAAAAAGAAAATGTATTGTTCATTCGTTCTTATGGTGTATATAACTCAGTGGTTTCCAAAACATCGGTACCATTTAATCCACCAGCAATTAACACTTGTCCATTTGCTAATACGGATGCTGTATGGTCATTTCGAACATATTTCATAGATGCAGCGACTGTCCATACTCCTGTTGATGGATCATACAACTCTGCACTATTGATTCTTATCCCATTAACATATCCGCCACTAACTAATACTTTTCCATTTGTTAATACAGATGCTGTGTGACTTGATCGAACATAATTCATATTTCCCGTAAGTGTCCATATTCCTGTCGATGGATCGTATAATTCAGCAGTACTTAGACTGTTACCGTTAATACCTGCACCACCAACAACTAACACCTTACCATTTGCTAATACAGATGCTGTGTGACTTGATCGAGCATAATTCATATTTCCCGTAACTGTCCATACTCCTGTCGATGAATCGTATAATTCAGTAGTACTTAGACTATTAATATTATTATAAATATATCCACCAACAATCAGCACCTTACCATTTGTTAATACAGTTGCTGTGTGAACATATCGAGCATAATTCATATTTCCCGTAAGTGTCCATATTCCTGTCGATGGATCGTATAATTCAGCAGTACTCAGACTGTTACTATTATTATATCCACCAGCAACCAGCACTCTACCATTTGTTAATACAGATGCTGTATGACTTGATCGAGCATAAATCATATTGCTAGTACGTATCCAGACTCCAGTAGACGGATCATATAACTCAGTACTATTGAAACTATTAGGAGAATCCCGGCCGCCGGTAACTAATACTTTTCCATTTGATAATAGAGACGCTGCATGGAATAGTCTACGAGATATCATAGATCCAGTCGATGTCCATATTCTCGACGATGAATCATACAATTCAGCGCTATTCAAAACGCCTTCAAAAAAATTCTGTCCACCTGTAACTAAAATTTTTCCATTTGCTAATATAGATGCTGTGTGAACATATCGAGTAGAATTCATACTTCCAGTATTTGACCACCCTAAAAAATCGAGATCCCAAAAACATTGTTCTATATCATGTACAATTCATGATTTATATATGATCGATAAGTATATGTACTAAGTAAGAGGAGGATAGAGTATCACAGTGCTGTGAGTCAGAAAAGCATAAAATCAAGGGCGAACAATAGTGAAGCGTTTGTTCTCATGGAACCTGTGTCATTTCAATTAGCATTACGATACATTTATGACCACGATCTTTTTTATTAAGTATCAGCTAAGATACCTGCTGTTGGTCCAGAACCCCTCAAACTGGAAACTTCATATGAGAGGGTTGTACTCGAAATTTTTCATCTACGACTAAAACATATCCCTCATGCATATATGAGATAGAACAACTTATACTATGTAGTATACCAATCCACCCGTTTTCTTTCAGTTTCCACAGCAAAAAACTTTCTCGTACAATTCCCACTGTAAGATGATTAAATCTTAAGGACATGGGTATTGCACTACGACTAGGTGAGTGTGATTCTTTTCTGTTCACTATTAAGAGTTAAACTTACCACTTTTCATTGTAGTTGCAGGAGTTGTAATCATAGCTGCGGTGATATATCTACTGACACTGGAAGTAGAAATAATATTACGACTAGTGGATGGTACATAAGCTAAAAGTTATTCTACATTGATCATATAATTTTATCAAGTCGTAATATTTACTTGATGTGAAAGTATTGATTGAAGATATTGATTGACTTGGATAATATTTATCTGCTGTAAGCACAATACCTAATGCAGCTCCAATAGCTGCAACAAAACAGATAAAAAGTATTACACCCGGAATAAACCCAACCGTTTGAGTTTTTGCTGCACATCTACAATAGAATAACACTAGTCACATATAATATAAAAATATCAAGCTTGACGTACCCTTCTAAACATGTTTCACTCATTTGAATAATTACTAAACGAGAAGACTGAATGATAAATTAATGATAAGAAAGTATATTCTATTTTTTTCTGAGAAAACTAATAGTAGTGAACAAGTTTATATAGTCTATTGTTTTGCGTAGCGTTTTAAATAAAGTGCCAGGAAAAAAATCTATCTATCAGTGTCCTGAATACTTTTACCTGTATATTTTCCGCGAAGATTTTTTTCCAACATACTTATAATTTTTCCAAGAAAAAATTTTCACGGAAAACTTCAAGTAGGAGAAAAACAAGAGAAAAAAACGCTCATTCATTCAGCTATTGCGCAAAAGACTGTCTAGAAAATTATTTTACATTTTCCTTCACTGTATCACGGAAAAAACCAGTATCTATTCATAGTATCTCGTTAAATTTCTTTTCGAAACACTCTTTTTTTGAAAATATTAATTGATTAGAACAAATACAACTGGTATTTTATCAATTTAAGAGTACCTTCTTCTTCATTTTTGACTAAACATTTTACGTTGAGTCTAGTACAAGTTCCTCCTTGCATCTGATGAAATTTTTCTGTATGAAAAAAGAGAAAAAAAAACTTTCTTTTAACTCAATCATAGATCATGTATCCTTCACTTCAAGCACATCAAAAAGAACTTTGGCGAAGATCCTATCCAACTACAGTTGGTTTTCTTTTGTCAATATTTCAAATGTTTCTTACTCATGTCATTTTGGGTTGTGAAATAGTTACTTTATTTTTCCATTTTCCTCGAATGAATATTTTTCTTGGCTATTGGACATATCCATTCTTTATGTGTGCATGGATATCATTAGCAGGCGCAAGTACGTTTTCTTTAGTTTAATTAATATCATTTCACTGAGTTTTGCTATATTTCTAATAGGTTGTTGTTGTCGAATTCGTTGTTGTGGAATAGCAACAATGGTTTTTCAATGTTTTGCAATGGTCATGGCATCATCTGTAATTGTTCTGGATTCATATTTTTTAGCCTATCCTCTTCAATGCTTTTTTTCATCAAATTGCAGTTATTCAACTTATGTCTATAGTGATCTTTGGAATCTAAATACTTTATATGCAATTCGAGTTCCAGTCATTCGAGGTCAATTATCAGCTGGTGTATTAATGTTAGTTTCATGCTTTATTTATATTATTATTTATGTGAAGACAAATTCTCGAGTATCAACAGGAGTTACAGTTCAAAATGATCCAATTATTCCAATGAATACAATTCCTACAATAACAGATTATAGTCGTCCTGTGATGGTTTCCTCTTATATTCATCCATCAAATAGAAATTCTATTAATAATAATTTAATACTGCCCAACAATACACTTCTTGCAAATCCAATCAATCTATTTACCTGTTCTTCATGTAACTCAACATATCAAGTTTCTTTTACATTAAAAGTCTAGAAGAAAGTTAATCAAGAACTTCAGTTAGATTCACAACCAATAACCTCTTGTTGTATGAGAATATTATAATTCACTTCTGCTTAAAAATCTAGTATTCCACTTATGACTCAAAACAAAAAAGTAGTACTAAACATTTGAACAACATCATATTTCAACGTTGTATTAGAATTTCTTTTGTTTAATAAAAATTCAATTGATTATAATTAGAATTTTTATGACTTTTCAGAATCTATAACAATAGAACATTATGGTAAAAGCATGAGGAGTGGATGATCTTTCTTATCTCACATCCTCATCCATTCCTATATACAAATATTAGCATTGTGTAAAAGTTTAGTTACGGCAAAATTTGAATATGCCATTAAACGTAGCGATTCATCATATTCTTGCATAAAACCATCAGATAAGACAGGATTTTTTAATAGAAAAAGAAATCAATAATTATGAAGGGTGTAGGTGTAGGTAATATGTTCACCATCACCTCTACTGCAAGTCAAACTCACCCACATCCTAAAATTTAAACTAAAGACTTTTTTAAAATATTGAAGTTCATAAATTATGTAATAAAATGGTTCGGAATAATAATAACGACTATTTATCTTATACGTATAGAAAGTACTATACCGAAATTCACGATTTTTGAGAGAAAAGCTGCGAATCTTGTGACTATTTTTGAAACCACGAAGTTTTTCACATGAAACCTGTGAAGCTCTTAAACAGACTGCGGAACTATAAAGCGTTTTGTATAAGCGATGACAAACTTTTATAGATCGTTCGAAAGTGGCATCCGCATTGTATATTAAATTGCATAGGTCTTGTTAGTGTTTGGTACGATCATTTGTTGCGTATATAATATATCGAACCATTGGAAACGCTACGAAACTATCGACCGGTTCATATAAGAACACTTAACCTTTACGAAGCGTGGAGGACTGTAAACCATAATGTAAAAAATATCTTGAGGGTGTGGGTGTGGGTGTAGATGTGGATGAGGGTGTGAGTGTGGCTATGGGCGCGTAATATACTCATATCCATACCCACATCCACTCATTCACATGCAACACGAAACCATCACCCACATCCACACCCACACCCTCAAGATTCGTATACTTGTCTTATTCGTGTGCTACTTGATATAGAATTTTTTTAACTTTTAATCAAATAATTTATTAACAGTTTCCATTGAAAAATGTTTTTTTTGAATGAACAAGATTATGTTATAATATTATATAAATTATTTAATTCTGGCAAATTATGTAAACTTGTCAAAAGTTTCATCTTTTTTATTGGAGGTGTGACTATAGAGATTGAAGAAAGTCTACAGCCACACCAATATCCACTCCCCTCCATAAAAACAGTGAATCCCGCTCATCTTTTCGGTTGGTGACCCCACTTGAAAATTGCACCACCCAATGCAGAATTTTATTCTACATCTATCAAAGCTAATTTTAGACGGATCATGAGTCTTAAGCCTGATGATAAATTTCTCTACGTAATTATATTATACTAATATTACCCTATTTTAAATTCTTTTTTGTTAACATACATATTCATATAAATACAAGGTAAGTTAATGAATGTCACTATTTTATTTAACCCATTTACATTTACATTCTCGTTCTCATTTTGTCTAACGTCTGATATCATTATATATTACCCTTTAGATTATCTTTTAGGGTTGTTATTTATAGGCATATTCATCCTTGCCATTGATGAACTTACCTCAAAGTCATTTTGCAAGCGAAATGTGCCAATGATTATACATTCTAAATCGAATGAATACTATCAAAACAATTAATTATTATGAAAAACTGCAGTGCTAATCTAAGAGAACATTTAAAAGGATAATTAAAGCTACAGTATTATTTCTAAGTTTTGTTAATCATAATAAGTTACTTCACAAGAGTAGAAGGACAGACATATTTTATTTATATGGAATCGCATATTGAAGTATGAGATAATTCAGTAAAACTAGCAAAGAAAACAGTTCGCGGACGAAATAAAGTATTTTTTGAAATTTGAACTACTGCCAAGAAAAATATAAGGTAAGTGAAAGTTAATTTGTTCCAAATAATTAATATAGTTCTGCACTACCTAAAGCACTAGTGCCATTGTACCCACTAATAACTAATACTTTTCCATTTGATAATACAGATGCTGTGTGTTCTTGTCGTTTATTAGCCATGTTACTAGTAGTTGTCCAAGTTCCTGTTGATAAATCATACAATTCAGCACTATGTAAATAACCAATATTAGTATTGAATCCAGCAGTAACTAATACTTTTCCATTCGATAATACAGATGCTGTGTGCTTATATCGAGCAATACTCATGTTACCAGTACTTGTCCAAGTGCCTGTTGGTGGATCATACAATTCAGCACTATTTAAATAACCAGTAATACCAAATCCACCATTAACTAATACTTTTCCATTTAATAATACTGATGCTGTGTGCCAATCTCGTGCATTCGCCATGTTACCAGTAGCCGTCCAAGTACCTGTTGTTGGATCATACAATTCAGCATTATTTAAAGCACTAGTGCCATTAAATCCACCAGTAACTAATACTTTCCCATTTGATAATACAGATTCTGTGTGTCGATATCGTGCATTAGCCATATTGCCAGTAGAAAACCATCCTAGAAGTTACATTTTTGTATATTTAGACTATACAACATTAAATGATTAAACAGTCAACATTCATCACTCTTGTGCACAGTATTTTTCATTATTCTAAAAACGACAGTCTTTGATATGTCTCTTTTATATCACCTCAAACTTATATAGATCGAGAAGAGTAGTCAAATCTATTGCACAAAATCTCTTCACACATCATTATCACATCTTCAGTTTTTTATATTTTTTTATATGAATGAATGATACTTTATCTGCAAATATGAATGAAATGAATTGTTCTAGTTGAGTGCGATGAAGTCTGAAATATAAATAATATATATTAATACCTCTTTCACATATTTGTATTGCTGAGAATGGTAAACACACTGCTTGTGGTGAGCAACATGAATTAACGATACATATTGAATTATTTGATGAACATGTTTGTGTAATATTATTACATGTTTCTAATATCGAACATAAAACACCAGGTGCACAATAACTTATATTATTTATTGTTCGATAATCAAAACAAGGTGTTGATGATAAAAGACAACTATTGTTACCATTCGAGCTTATATTGCATTGTTGTAAAGAACAATTTGATGTTGAATTCCATGCTGAATGAGATGATGAAGACAATATAAACTGAATAGAAGCATTATTTTCACTACAAGAATAATTAGGTAATTGTGTAGTTTGTCCTAAAGAATTCATTTATATTATGATAGAGTCAAATGAAAACAGATAATCTAACAAACCTTTTACAGATGAAAGAGATATAATGAAAAATAAGACAATAACAGACCGCATTATTTTTTGTGTGATGAATGAAACAATAAAGTATGCACAACAACGAATGATTTTTCTTTACTCTTTTTTTCTTCTTTACTTCCCACATTACTCTTTTTGCTGAAAGAGTATAGAGCTGTTTCTCTCAGCACTTATTTTTGTCCTTGAAATCCAAAATGGATTCCTTTTATTTTGAATTGCTTTTTCATTTAAATGTATTGAAATGTTTCTTTTGTAAGCGTTTTCTACAGAAAAAAAACTCTTCTATGTGTAAAATTCTTATTCTCATAAAATACTCTTTTCTTTTGTTCCTTCATCGCATCTAAAATCATAACATTTCTTCGATCGAAGTTTAAAACATTATCAGGTATGTGATTTTGTTTTAATTGAGGGTGGGTGTGGGCGGTTGTGAACTTTTCTTCAGTCAAACAACACCCACATCCTCGTTCAAATGATTGTTTTTACGTCTGTGACGTCCATTAAACACAAAATAAATTGCGTATATATCGAAAAACTCTGTGGATTCACGTATGCTTTCGTAAATCTTAGATCATTTTTGGTGACTTCTAACAATGAATGATATTTATAATGAAAAACATTCGAGTCATTGCTACTACGTATTCTTGAGAGAACATGAAAAAAACAGGAAACAAGCTATTTACATTCATATGAATATGTGTCCTGAGAGATTAGAAGAGAAGAATGCACATATCGTTTGTTTCAGTAGGCCCCTCTTGGGAAATAGATAAATAAAAAATATAATGTTATATTTTCTTTTTGCAAATCATAAGAAAAAGAAACGATTATTGAATATTTCTACGTGAACAATGTAATTTATTCATCTAACAGCTAGGTTGTGGGTGTGGATATTGGTCTTATCTAGCACCCACACCCTCAAAATTTCAATTTCATATCTTCAAGGCGTTGTGCGTGGCAGGTGCTGATGCAAGTTATGCACTTGTTCAAATGCATACGCTAGTTCGATGAGACATTTTTCACTATAGGGCAAACCTAGAAAGGACATACCCACAGGCAGATCACCTGTAGCAATACCCGCTGGTACAGTAATCTGTGGAAAGCCCATCGCGCCAGCAATATACTTCGGTATATCAGGATCATCCATATGACATACATAGGTCGGATCTGGTTGCTGATCGAACCGAGACGAAGCTGGACAACAGATGGTGGGCATCATCAATGCATTCAAATGTTGCGACTTAATAATAGATTGTAAATCTGCTCGTAGCTGTGGAATGACAACCGATAAAATGCGTGCGTATTTTGGTGAATTGAATAATGGAGTCGTTAGGTTAGTTTTAAGCATGGTTAAACGTTCAGGATTAATCGGTTGTGATTCGTTGCGTTGAATGAACTCAGCCAGAGTATGAGGTTGTTTCGGACCCAAAGTCGATAGATAACGTTCGAATTGATCCTTGAACTCTGCCTCCAACACAGGCTCTAGAACTTCTTGCCATAGACGCTCATAAATCTGTGGTAATTGTATTGGGATCATTTGTGCCCCATTAGTTTTCAAACATTCTACACTTTCGTCATGAACCCGATCGACATCTGGATTTCCTCCACGAAAATTAAGTACTACACCGATACGCGCACCTTGTAATACTTTAACATCTAGATGCGCAGCATACGACACAATATGGTCTGGTTGATCTTGTGTTGCCGCATCGGATGTATCCTTGCCGACTAATGCATCAAGAACA